CTACGTGAAAAGCTATTTAATTACATCACTTTTCTCAATATTCGCAAATACTTTTTTTTTTTTTTTTTTTTTTTTTTCGCCAGCCACGGTATTCAGAGCTATGCCCCGATTAATCCGTTGGTCGACCCGGGTCGCACACCTGGCAATGATGGGTGAGTCTCCCAATAAGGGTTTTTTGCATCCACAAAAACTCAAACTCGAGACTTTAAGCGACATCAAGTTGCTTACGACTTAAGTCAACCCCTGTTGGTTATTCGCAAATACTCTAACAGCTCTATGCGTGTGTGTTTGTGTGTACGTGTGGAAAAAAGAGCTAAGAAGAAGGTTGAAACTAAAGTGGTAATCTTTGTCATGTGAACAAAGAGGGGAATCTATTACGTATATAAAAAGGACCACATGAAAATAATATGTAACTCTTTATTAATCCTCTCATCTTCACTCTTTCTTCAAAACCCTAAAATACTCCCATCTTTTTTTTTTCGTGTTGAGGGGAATGTTGTCTGGTACGAAATCTTTCGATTTCTACATTAGATTCAAATAAAATCGTCTAATGTAATTAATCGACAATTGAATGGTTTCGGACCAGGCTTCATTCCCCTCAACCTCAAAGACTGTAAATTTTCAAAATCGATCGATTTTTCCATAATCTTTGGATCATCTCTAGGTTTATGGTGGTGTTTCCAATCTCCTATTCCATGGTCAGGGTAACTGTTTTTTAACTATTTATAAAATATTTGTAATTTACTCTTGATTACTATTCGAAATTATTGTGTACAATATCTCATCTAATAGTCAAAATTCACATAGTATGTTCATGGAGTTGCAGAAGGATCATGAGAGGAAAGTAATATATGTATTGATGTTGTGCAGGTAATTTTATAACCAAACTCCCCTTCTATTTTATTGTGCAGTGCAGTAATTTAAGGATTCTTTCACGTTATACGATACAAAATCATAATGTTTTTAGATCATAATTTACGATATTCTAACATATGGTTTTAATCAAAGCTTTATGATGAATTGTAAGTCCCTCCATGCGAACAAGTACAAGTTCTACCCTAACGGTGCAGAGGGTGTCTGAACCGCCAGATCATGCACACACACTTGCACGTGTAGCGTGTGTTGACCTAACGTGTCAGATATTAAGCTTTATGATAAATTGTAAGTCACTTCATGTAGTGAACAAGCACAAGTTCTACCCTAACGGTGCAGAGGGTGTCTGAACCGTCAGATCATGCACATACACACACCTGCACATGTAGTGTGTGTTGATTTAACGGTTCAGATCTAGGTGTGGAAAGTAAGTAAAGGTGAATTTTTTTCATGTGAACATTTATACGTAGTGACAATTTTTAATTTATTCAGTGTAATGTAAGATGTATAGTAATGGGATAAGGTTTTTTGTCCGTCTCTTTTTCTCTTATTTTTTACTATTTCTAATGAACTAGTCCTTTTTTTCTCTTTATTAATTAATACACTGCGAATGAAAAATGAACTGAATACAAATTCGATTAGCATCGCTCATGAAAATGTGAGTATTTTTCTTTTTATTTTTACCTTTTCTGATTATTTCTTTTCCTGCTTTCTTGCAAAGATTTTGGTGCAAGACGATTAAACGGGTTGAATCGTCATACTTTTTTAGCAAAATAATCACAACCGCGTGAAATGTCATATTTTTATTTATTTTGATTCTTAAAGTATGTCATTGAATATGAAAATATGTATATTATAAAAATAATAATAATTAAATTTGGCTAAAATCATATATAATTACCAGCATATTATGGGTTGTTACTTGTTACAATTCCTATTATATAAAAATCTTAATTAATAATAAATATTTCAAAATTGAGAATCACACGCTATTTTGCATCCGCTTTTTTGACTTTTATTCAGTATTGTGCTATGGACCCTCGAAAACGTGTTTGGCCCACAGGACAAAGCTATGTTCAAAAGACAAAATATTCGCAGCACAATCACGGGCCAGATTTTCTTCACAAGCAAAAATGTTATATTATTGAGGGTTTGGAATGCAAATAATTTTTATTTTTATTTTCGTAATTAGTAAATTATTAAATTTTTTTGTCATTGATTTGTAACATTAAATTCTTCAATGTATTCTTTGTGCAAGACTATGAATAAGTATAATACAAGCTTTTATGCAGCCAGCTTTTAGTATCATCAGAAAAGTTCCTATATAAACATAAAATGAAGAGGGAAAAATATAAGATATAAAGTTACGTTCACTTATTCACCATGAATTTAGTATAATTCAGTAACCCTGATCGATGAACTTCTCGTTTAATATTGATTAGAACTTCAAAGTCCAAGATTGACATTCGTTTTAAGTTAAAAGGAAAAAAGTTTTAGTTCATCTAGTCAGAGGTAAATGTAACGAGTAAAGTCGTGAACGAGACTTACATGTATCGAAATCTGAGAGAATTTCAAAGCTGGAGGGCTGCAAAAGTCCCCCTTATAGCCACCCTATTCCACCAAAATATTCAAATTCCTTAATTTCCAAAATGATTCCGAATTTGCCACATCCAATTCATCTACTTCAAATAACACAGTGCCCTGCATACACCAGCAGACGAAAAACTTCAGACGATAACAACACTTTATAACGAACACATGATTCGTATGTAAATCACATGCAGTACTTATGAGTTACCTTATGGTCTCGTAACTCAAATTCGTTAGCTTATTCGTTACTTCAAAGAGAGATGAAGTCAACTCTGGAATGCAATAAAGTTCTTCATCAAAACAAGTAGATCTGTAATGACCATTCATTGAAATGCTATCCCACAAATTGCAATACAAATTGCTCATTTTCCATGTAGCCAATTCAATTATGAAAAAAGTTTTTATCTGTGTCAACTGGTAAATATACAAAAAAAGCTCCTTCCGAATCTTTAAAATTAACACACGACCGATATGTTCCTCAATTCCACATCGACTCCATAACATATTCAGAATGTCATATACTTATTAGGCCTTTCCAGAGAAGTTGGGTATCATATTCAGATACTTTGAGTAACTTTCATCTTTCGACAGTAAGTCCACAACTATGGCTGCAGTATATTCATCTGGCGAAAATTTTCTATCCGCCATTTTCTGGAGTAGCTCGACCACCTTCTGCGCGTCATTATTATCACAACATCCACGCATAAGCGAATTAAACGTCGCCACATCAGGAGGGCAGCCTTTACTCTCCATTTCCATAAAAAGATCGTTTGCCTTGTCCAACTGCCCTTTTCTGCAAAACCCATTGATCATGATCGAGTAAGTATAAGTCGTTCGGGCCAAGCCCATCTTGGCAAACCTCTCAAACAGCCCACCAGCAAGATCAAGCCGGCCCGCCTTGCAAAGTCCATCAAGAAAACAGTTACAATTCACGTCGTTCGGCTTATACCCACACTTTTCGAGAGTCTCGAACAACTCAATTGCTTCATCAATACAATCATTCTTGCAAAAACCACCCAATAGTATACTATAAGTGGTAGAATCGGGCTTCAGATCATAATCCTTCATCGTCTTGGAATAAATCTCCCGGGCCTCCTCAACATTACCCTCGCGAAAAAGAGCGGTTAACAAAATATTGAAAGTTACAACAGTTGGTCTGTAATTTTTCGAAAGCATCTCGTTAAAAAGGGTAATCGCCTCTTCCAATTTACGGCATTTGCAATAGCCATTGATTAAAACATTGTAGCTCTCGACGTCCCTCTCGTGACCTTTCGCGGCCATCGAGAGGAACAAATCCGTCGCAACACCGATTCTGCCCTCGAGACAATACCCATCCATCAAAGTGTTAAACATGATGGAATCGGGTTTCTCGCCCCTTTTAATCATCTGCTCCAAAATCCCGCGGGCTTCATCGGTTTTCCCATCCTTACAAAGTGAATCTATCAACATATTGAAAGTCACAACATTGGGGCGAATGCCCTTATCCATCATACGGGTGAACAATTCTTTTGCTTGCTCCCCATTACCACATTTGCATAAACCATGAATCAAGGCCCCATAAGCAACCACATCAGGAGAAATTCCCCTTCCCTCCATTTCTGAGAACAATTCTGCACCTTTTTGGACAAACCCTTCTTTACAGAGACCATCGATGAGACAGCTGTAGTAAATCAAACTGGGATTAAATCTTTTCCCCGGCACGAATTTCCCGCTACTCATTTCCTCGTGCAACCTAAGAGCAACCTTAGAATTCCCATTCCTGCATAACCCATTAACCAAAGTCCCCAGTGTTTTCACATTCGGGTGAAAACCTAAACCCATTATTTTCCGCAATAGCTGCACGGCCGCACTCATCTTATTCTCCTTGCACAGACCTTTCAACAAAGCAGTGTACGTGACGATGTTCGGTTTATAACCCCTCCTGAAAATCCCGCCCATGACAGCAAAACCAAGATCGACCCTTTTCAGCTCGCACCAGCAATTAAGCAAAATGTTCATCCCGATGTAGTCCGGAAAAGAATTTACCTCCGCCAACCGATTGAACATGGAAATCAAATCCTGGTACCTCCTGGATTTTGAAACGGCGCCGAGCAACGGGTTGAACGATGACATCGGCACTTGGGGCTGTCGATGAATCATTTCGTCGAACACCTTCAGTGCGACGTTTGAGTCCATTGTCGGTGCACCTTTGAGGGATTTTGAAGATGTACTGGGTTCAAGCCGGCGAACCATGGTCGTAGAGAGGTCTCCTGGTTCGGAAGGCCCAAAAACGCCGGCTTTTGCAGCAGAAACTGCTCGACGAGCATACGTACGGGAGACCATAGCTGCTTGTGCACTATTTGAAATCACAGGAAAAAACGGTCACGGTACCTAAAGAGAAATAATTACTGGGTTGTAAAAAATTGGGAAATTTTCATGTATACTTATTGATTTTTAAGTAATTGCAGTTTTACCATTGAAACCAATAAATTTATGTATATATCTAAGAGATAAAAAGTAATTATATTGATGTCTAAGCATCTTCTCTCCCCGTAATTCATGTTTTCCGTTACCTTATCAAACCAAATCATCTTCTCTCTCCCCGTAATTCATGCTTTGCGTTACCTTATTTCCTTTTATGTTTCGGATTCCGAGAAAGAGCTACTTCAAGTTGTTGACAAAATGGAATGTGTTGGACACACTGACAGTGATATATACTTGAAATATACCGATTATATACCAACTGTTACATAATTGAAGCATGTCTAAAGTATGTCCCCAATTATATGATAAGTATATACTTTGTAAAGTATATGTATCTGATTAGTTTATTAATACTATATCACACTATCATATACTTGATATAAAACCAACACCTACTTAGCATAAACTTGATATAAATCCACATATACCTTAAAATATACATAAAATATACTTTAAATATACACTCGAGTTTCAACCATTTTTCAAAAACGATTTCAGAACTCACATATACTTAAAAATATACCTAAGATATACACTCGGGATTCAATCCCCCGTCAGACTGTCACAATTACACTACAAGCAGAAGAAGACAAAGCAAAATCTGAAAAATCTCGGGACACACGCACACATAAAATATACTTTAAATATATACTCGAGTTTGAATCCGTTTCTCAAAATCGATTTCAGAACCCACATATACCTAAAAATATACCTAAGATATACTGAAAACTGGTGCATCTCGAAAATAGTAATAATGAAAAATTAATCCAATTTTCGGATCCAATAGCGAATTAGCATCCCCGAACAAGTACTTGAAGAACACCTCCAGATTCATCCCCCCTTCATCCCCCCCTACGAAACAAGTGTGCATGCTTTAACCGGTTGATGACGCCCCCCGCCATCGAGTTCGCTTCCCTCTGCACCTTCGCCAGGAACCGCCGCAGTTCGTCAGCTTCCATAACCTATACAACCGTCGCGAAATTCTCAATCCGAACAAACAATTAACTAATTGAACAACGAAAAACGTGATTGGAATCAAACAACGGAAAAACGAAGGAGTGGTGGGTGGGTGGAGGTGGTGCCGTGAAGGAGCGGTGTGGAAGGAGAATAGCGGCGAATTGGAGAAGAAGAAGATGAGAGAGAGAGAGAGAGGGAGGGGGAGAGAAAAGAAGAAGAATGGAGAGAGAGCGTGTGATAATTATAGATCTCAACAAATCTGTTTTTACCATATTTAAAAATAATTATATGTTGTTTAATAATCTGGTATGTTTGTAAATAAATATAAAAATTTTAGTTAATTTGCAAAAAATACCAATTGTAATTATGCAATAAAAATGTTAATGTGTAGTGGAGGATGCAATTTCCTCTAAAAAGGGAAATTCCTTTATAATGGTTTGGGCCGTGAATATGTGGTTTCTCTTAAACTTTAGTAGACCGTTTTTCGGATGTTTTAAGGCTTAAAGACACGAATATAATCGATTGTCATATATTTTCCAGTTTAATATATTAAGAAAGTTATTTAAATTTCTATACCTCCAAACTTAATTTATTCCAAATGAAGCCCCAGACGTTGTTCATGACCAATTCATGTTATTAACTCATTTTCTCTTATCAATAAGTGCACTAAATAATTACCTTCCAAATTTAAATTTATATAAATTTTATTTTAAATTTATTTTTAGTTTATGAACCAGTTTTTCTACCATAATTTATATCCTAGATTATTTTAAATTTATTATAGGTTTATAAACCATTACAATTTACAACAATACAGACTATAAATTTAAATTTATATATAGTTTATTTTTAGTTTACTATACAAGAAAAAACCAATTTATTATATAAGAAAAAAATATATAAGGTTTATTTTCAGTTTATTATACAATAAAAAATTCAAGAATATTTTCAGTTTATTATATAAGGTTTATTTTCAGTTTATTTTCAGTTTCTTATACAAGAATATTTTCAGTTTATTTTTAGTTTATTTTCAATTTATTTTTAGCTTTGCCACAAATCAAGGCGAATTCTTGCTGATGTTCTTAGTGTCCAAGAAGCTCTTGTTTGGAGGCGCTGAGATTATGTCACCAATTTTCCACAATGAACTCATTGGCACTGGGATCTGACGAGAATCATTCATAGGCAAAAAATTCAAAGACGTTTCAAAAATCACAGGAAAATTAAGCAAAAATCTAAATAAAATCTAACAACTCAAAGATTTGAAATTCCAAATGCCAATCAATTAGATCCCCACAAACCAAAATTAATGAAACCCTAAATCGATAATTGGAGAATTTACTACACCTTTCCGACTACATGCCTTGTCCCTCGACGAGTTATATTCCAAGCGTCAAGGTGGCGGGTGGTGGGCGGCAAACGTCGAGAGAAAGAAGTCAGAGAGGGAGAGAATCTCGAATAGCGGGTGATGTTTGCGACGGTTCTGGTGATGTTGAGGATGCAGATCCCCTGGAAGTGCGTGGTGAAGGCGAAGGAGGGCAATGATGCATCATCATGTCGGACCTCAAGGCGGACTGTCGGGGGTGATGATGATGTGATGTGCTCTTCTGCTCTTCGACTCTGCGAAGAAAAAAAGAAGGTGGTCTTAGTCTTAAAAAACAATTCAATGTGGAAATCAAAAACAATTCAATGTGGAAATCAAGGAAAGTTAGGGTCGTTTTATGGTAAAGAAAAAGTCAAGTTTGGTATTAAGTTGTTCTAATCGTTAATAAGGAAGAAAACTTTAAGGGGTCCGTCCAGCAGATAATTTTCTCATGATTTACCGAATAACTAAAATGACTAAAACTTGTCAAAAGCGCAGATTTAAATTGATGACATCCCTGAAAAATAGCTGCAAACGCATTAGCGAAAATCTATATCTGTTAATATATAATGAGGATTAATATAATTTACTTTTAGAAAAACTTCCCGCCAATTTCATTAATTATTGCCTAAACATAGTAAATTAACAAAATCGCTATTTATTAGCATATCTATTTTTTTCCGATTTTTTTTTGGAATACAATAAAAAATATGGAATCAAAATCCAAATAAATCTCCTCTTTTGTGCCTGGATATAAATCTCCTCTTTTGAAGGCTGAATATCCTGTATTTATTAAGGAGCCTACAAAAAAAAAAGATTAAGCTAATGGTTAGCAGATTCGTTGGTTACATTTCAAAATGAGATTAACCTTTTATTTTTGGTTAATTTTATTAAATGATTTTCGAGAACTAGATTGAATTTTTAATTAACCCTTTTTTTTATGTCATAGCAATTTTTGTTGTCAAAATTTGATTTACATCGTGTGCTATTCATATTTATCATTTGGAAAACTACTTGTTATTCATATTATGATTTAAAAAACTAAATCTATTTTATAATGAAACAAAATAATTTCAAAAATCACAGTTTCGATCGATGTTAGAAATGAAACTGTTAAAATAAAATAGATAATCACAAATTCGTATTATCACAAGTTAATACATAATTAAATATAATTTCATATTCATAAATTATAATTAATATATATTTTACGGGTAGAAAATTACATGTGTAAATTAGCAATTACTATAAATATCGATCTACAGTTGTCAAGTGCAAAATAATTTGCATGGAAAAACAAGAAGAATTTTAACAATGTATAACTTTTTCATGATGAACATTTTCTGATTACCTGATAAAAGTCCTACGATATTATAACTTATTGATTAATATTAGCCTTTAATTATAAATTTTACCAAAATAAATACAGCCAGTGCATCGCACGGGGTTACGTACTAGTATATATAAACAGATTTACCAATTTTCAAAAATAGTAAGAAAAAAATTTATCTAACATTAAATGCATCCCATTTTGGGCAAGTTTTTAAAATTCTTAACAATCAAATTGGGTAGCATTAAATGCACCCTATAATCGTGGGTTTTGTTTAATTAATTATGGAAAATTTCGGCCAATGTTTATTTATCTTTTAAATTAAAAATATTTTCTCATTTTTGAAATCGGAATGCATTTAAAAGTCCTTAATTTAAGGAGTCTGTTCAATGTTGATTTAGTTTTTAAATTAAAATCCTCTCAATTTCTTATTCGGACTCCATTCAAAAGTCCTTAACTGCAAGCTATAATTATGGGTTTTTTTTTTTTAATCCCATATAGTTTAGAGCTTTAAAATCCTATTTTATATATATTTTTAGTACAGGGACCTTCCGGTTTCCGGATCCACAGGGGAACCGATTAATCCAGAAACGAGTCGGGTAGGACCACAAGGGCGGCAAAGCTCTCCCTCAAGAGTTTTTAACACTGCTGCATTCCCAGGGCTCGAACACGAGACCACTGGTTAAGCTGAAAGAGACCCAAGACATTTCATCCAAGCGCTCGTGGGTAAAATCCTATTTTATATCTATATATATATATAATTGCTAGCGTATAGCATTTAATTTTACCTATTTAATAAAACCTCTAATATTTTCTCTCCATTTTCGGTTACAAAAATTATCATTAATATTTTTTATTTCTCACATTGATACATCATAATGAGTATAATCATGTATTTTTTTTATTATATTATATAATAGTTATTTC